AATGTTAGATCGATAGCTCACATTACTTTTTGCGTAGGCGTGTGCAAAAATGTTCGTCAAATTTGAGCGGTTTTTGCTAAATAACTTCGCACATGTGGCTTATACTTATATGAGACTCCTAATGGTAGGTTGAAAACATCTATCAGTGTACCAATTTTGAAAAAAAATCCATAAAAGTTAAATATGTTTTTCTATCAAATAAATTTTCCGTACATTTGGTGCGAAAAAAGAATAAGGAATAAACTCAATCAAAATTGGAGTTGTTATATCTCAGGTATTTTTTAATGGATTTCTTGGAAGTTGGTATGTGAAGTATGAGTACAGTACAGCATATGCGCTGAAAATATGTGATAGTTTGGGTTACCACAGTCCGAGATAAAGAAGGTGGAAAATCGCTAAACTATCACTTCTGTTAATAAAACACAGTGTGTCCTGCAGCAGGTTGTTTTGGCTGTACGACATACTTGATAATGTGTACTGTTAGTAAACTTTCATCTTTTTCCTGACAAAACAAAATCAATGCTAATTCATTATACCATGGAAAGTTTCATTTTCAATGGAAATATGCAAGTACCTATAGTTTGGGTGATTTGTAGTACAACATTTTCTATACTTAAAACTTTCCTTTTTTAATCAGTTTGATTCTTGGATTATATAACTTTTAAGATTTTTATTTTAATAAACGTACTGTATGTAGAATCAGTAAAATGAGAATTTAAATATTTAAAGAAAGTGAAACAGTTTGATTCCTCCAAAATGGCGACGGGTTTCATTACAAATGCAAAAAAAACAAAACATATTTGAGTTGATCTGTGAGATTTCAAACAAGTATTAGGCAGTTCACGTTTTAATACTTACAATCAACGCTAGATTTGATGAGTTGTTGTTAATTGAACAATAGGTACAAACTTAATTATAAGCCTAGAATATCATAACACAGAATATTTTACTTTTGTGTCACCAGTAGGTCAGTGGTAAGTTAACGGACTTCGAACGCTACAGTCCGAGGTTTGATTTCCCCACGGTAAACAGAACGCAATTGGCACATTTTCTAGCTCTGCACTAGTAAGAATAATATATTCTTATGTCTATCACTAGAGTTAGACCTAATCATTTAATGGAAAAATGCATTTCTCTTCAGTTTGGTTTTTGTTAAACTAACAGTAGATCGGGGACG